GCTGCCTGCCAGGGCTGCCGGCAAGGAGAGAAAATGTCGGACTTGGAGGGGTGCCAAGTGGGCGCAGAAGGCATGGATCCAGCAGGGGACGAGTCCCCCAGCGAGAGCGAGAGGTGAGCCTGGGCACGGGGGAGCCTGCCACCACGGTGGCCTTCCCGAGGGGGCTCCCGGGGAAACCGGGAGGCTGGGAAATCGGGGTGGCGGTGGCAGAAGAAGATGCGAGGCTGAAACCAAGTTGATCCATGAGATGGAAAAGCAGAAAGCCATTGGACGCTTCTGACAAGCCTCCCCAAGTTGGGAGAGACTTAAGACTGGCTAAATTTCCTATCTCCTCTGACCTCCAAAGCCCTTGTGGGTGGGACCGGGAGGAAGACCTTGGCTCCAGCACAAGCCACGGTCAACGAGGGGTCTAGCTCTGAGGTCTGGACCTGCTGTCGCACCCCACGACAAGTGGGTGGTGATGAGCTGCCTCTTTTTGAAGCAATCCTGAGGATATCCCACCTGAACCTGTGGGGGACATGAGCTTTCCAGAGCACTCTTGCCCCCAAAATGTTTTGATTGCACCTTCCTCCCATGGATAACTCCGGGTTGGGCAGGACCTACAGAGTGACCACCAAGTGAGCCTGGGAATGGGGTTTGGTAGAGCAACTGTTGGCAGGCCTTCAAGAAATATGTGTCCTTTCTGCGGTGGGTGACTTTGGTGGAAAGGGTATTGGAGATGCTCAAACCCCTTTTTGCTTCCAAGCGAAGCGAGCAAATCTGCTGTTTTTGCCACTTTCTTGGGGCGTTTGTGAAACTGGAGGCTAACACCTCACTGATGAGGCAGCGGGATGTGGCGGGGAGGTGATGCTCTTTCAGAGGTTTGAGCTCTTCCTGTGTCTGCTCTAACTGGATTAAACTGGAAAATTTTCAGACTACTTGCTGCCTTTTATAGGTTTATATGTCTCTGCCTGATCTGCTTTGTTGCTTTATCCGCAGTGGTTGTAAACCTTGGACTGTCAGCTCCAAAGCAGACAGCTTTCCATAGGGGTTAAAAGAAAAAAGACCAGTAGCAGAGCCCAAATTGCAGTTGTCTGTGTCAGCTGCTAGAGGAAGACAGAGATAAGCTTGGCTGAGGTATCACACCGAGGCATTTAGATTTGGATTCAGTCAGATTCAGACTGAGCATTTGGGGAGTTTGGGGGTTTGCCTGACTTTTGCCTCTAGCTTCAAAGCTTGCATTAGCATTTCTCCCCAAGGCTGCTGAAAGCCAACGCAGTTTGTGTTTGTAGAAAAAAATCTTGAGTGGCAATGAGAGGAGAAAGGTGTGTCATCTCCTATCGCTAACGGTTGCAGTAAGTGTTTTGGCTGACAGCTGACAGCAATTAGCCTGGGCCGAG